AGCACGCTACTGTGAGTATTGGATGACACTGCCCGTGTCGCCGGGTGGTGGTGGTGGTGGTGGTGGTGGCGGCGGCGGCGGCGGCGGCGCTGCTGCTGCTGCTGCTGCTGATGCTGCTGGCGCTGGTGCTGGTGGCGCTGGGGGTGGCAGTGGCAATATGAGTAATAGTCGAGCGATAGTCGAGCAACAGAAATATGCAAAGTAATTGTAGGGAGGAAGAGTTTGGGGTGCTAGGTCTACGGGTTTAGAGTGTAGAGTTCAGATTTGCGCGAGACCAGAGAGTGTTTCTGTCAACGCTTGTTGGAGCCCTTCTTGCTGTAAGTTTTGATTTCCATGTAGCAGTCTTCCTGGGATGGGTGTGCACGTGCATCGGCACATACCAGACATTGCATTCACGTGAGTGTTCATGTCAGTAGACATTGTGCATGTAATCGCACATGGATGGTAACATGCCTCGATCTCCGTCTCTATCCCTCTCTCTTTCTCTGTCTATTTGTCGCTTTCTCTGTTTCTCTTGCTGTCTCTCTTCACATGGCTTGTAAATACTTGATCTAGTCTGCTTCCCACGGAAGCCTTGGGCCGGTGTCTGTCTGCGAGGTTATCATTTAACCTGACAGGCGTCTACACAGCCTGATATTCTCTCCTCCCCCATGGTGGTTTCTGACTTTTTGCGGCTGATGGAACGAGGGCGTGATGGTCTTGGGGTATGGAAGGGGATCCCTCCCTAATCCCAAGGGGCAACCCCTACCATCTCCCTAATCGTCCCTCACTATCCGTGGGGTCCATTACAGTATACCCCTGTGTAGGAACTCCCACTTTAGCTCGAGGTCCCTATGGAGCGAAGATGCTTCCGCGGGCTTCTGGGATGCAAAACCTTCTTGCAAGAGGAACGTTCCCAAAGGTGAGCTTTTGACAAGGGCAACATGGATGGGTGTAGGGGGTATACTATAGGGGACGCTACATGTCAGAGACGACCCAATCGGATGATTTGGCCTCCTTGGGGTTTGTTGAGGTGGAGTAGCCGTTTCGAGCGGGAAGTTGTCAATCCTTCGATTAGTGGCAAGGACAGTCAAGATCTTCAGTGATAAGGGCACACCTCCTAACCTCTGAACGCAGTCAGCGGGCACTGCATTGGTATGAGCAACTTTCGTCCGCTGACAGAGGGGATGTTTGAGGTTCATTGTCAAAACTTGTCTGTTCCCCATGCAAAGGCCAATGCGACCCCACGGAAAGCTGCACAAATCTGATGGCAATGTTTCATGACAGCTGCTATGCAACAACAATCTGCCCCGCCCCATCAAAAGGCTTTTCCAGTCCTTTAGGCCCTTGCCTCTTGCAGCATGAGGTTGCAGAAGGTGTTATCTAGCACACCCTACCTCAAACTCCTATGCTAATGCAGTTAGCCGGAAGCCACAGGCTCCTGGGGTGATTCCGTGTCTTGATAAAGCATAAACGCGTAAACCGCGGCAAGTGGGCCAAGGTGAAAGGCCTCTTGGACACCGAGGAGGACCCCGACGTCATCCATGCCGCCAAGTCGGGGCCATGTAAAGGGGATGAGTGGGTTAAGCGTTTAGAGTTTGGGTTCAGGGTTTGGGGTTTCGGGCTATAAGACAGTCAAGAGCTTTAGGGTTGTTGAAAGAATCAGCCAGCGAAAAATACTAGAGCTTCTCTGCTACAGTGCTCATGAGTTCGCAAGTTCGCTTAAGGTGGTTGGACGTGAGGATGCTCTCATTTACTTCGTTGCTGTGCAGCTTGCCCAATTATCTAGTGCCCTAGCTGAAATTACGTGGAGATCTCCAACAGCAGGGGCATACCCTGAAGACTAGGATTCCGGTCTCATGCCATAGAACCAATCCTTAAACCGGAAATGTTGGTTACCAGGTTGATGGTGGGACGGCAAGAGGCTCTGAACACCATCGAGCCCTAAGCCCTAGACCCCAACCCGTATTCCCTTAATTAATCCCCTTAATCCCCAAGCCCCTGCACTGAACCCTAAAACCCGACAGGTCCAAAACCTTAGCTCAAATCTAAGCCCCACCCCCCCAAGACCTCAAAAGGTACACCCTAAACCTCCAAAAGCCTGATGCTAATACTAATACCGATACTCATCATCATCATCATACTACTACTACTACTACTGCTACTACTACTACTACTACTACTACTACTGAGGCGCGCCTTGGATGGCAAAAGCGGGGTGGCCTCCGAGCTACTCTCGAAGCAGCCTGACGCGAACAGTTGAAGGGTTCCAGGTTTGGGGCCTTTCAGGGTGGGGAGGGTTACAAGGGTTTGGAGTTCCAAGGGTTCCGGGTTGTAAGGGTTTGAGGTTCCAAGGGTTAGCGTTTTAAGGCTTTGAGGTTTCAAGGGTTTGGGGTTTGAAGGATTACAAATTGAAGGGTGGAGGGTTGCGCGGGCCAGCCAGACTGTAAGGGTGTATAGGGTGTAGGGGTTCTGCGTGATGCACGGAATGGGTGGAGGACTCCAGATTTTTTGGGGGTTTCGGTGCTTGGGGCTTGGCCCTGAACGTTATGAGTACGCGCCTAAAAGACCATTGCAAAAAAGGCACCCCTACACCAAGTCAAATGGTATAAACGCTCTCAACCCGCCTGGAAAAACCTAGGCCGCGCCGTGCCAGCATTGGAGCAAGACGTGGGGCGGCCCAGCTTGCAGCGCGCATTTGACGCTTTTTTGATTCCTTCCTTTGGAAGGGCTTGGAGTCTCGGATTGAGAGGTGATGGGCTGATCACAGGGTAGTTTCAAAGTTCACCAGCCCCGGTGGCCCTGTGTAATCGCTTCACGCATCTGTAGATCCTTCAGGGTACCTAAACTTGCAAACCCCCCGATACAGAACCACAGCTTTGGCATAATGTTAAAGTTGACTCCGCTTGGCTTCTTTTCGGGTAGCACGCATCGTCTGAAAGCTTAATAGTCACAAGCCCAATAGTAATTTTGCAAGCAAGCCTATAAGCACGTTTGACAGAATGAGTGAGTTGTGCAGGCCGCTCGTTTGCTATAGTTCCACCGATGACTTGGCTTAGAGAACAGCAGACTGGGAGCATGCCTGGCGTGTGATGCTTTCACACCGCCCTCCAGCAAGCCCACAGCCTTTCCATCGGCCCTTTAAGGTCTATGGCTGACATTGTGTTGCCACAAGATCCCCAAGCTAGGTTTTCATGGCAATCACAATCTTTTGTTGCAGGTGCCAGTCTCAAATCTCAGCGCAGGCGCTTAGAGTTCCTTGAAGGGGGATGGGTTGTGAGAGCTTTCGAGAACATAGTCTTATTCATGTGTTAGCCAGTTTTTCAAGACCAGCTGTTGAAGGCTTTTTGACTCCGGGGGCTTGTGGTGTAGGCCCAGTGTAGACCCCCCAAGAATCGGGAAGCAACAGGGGGCATCCCCGTGTCTTCAAGTGTGAATCATGTAAGACTCTCGAGCCTGAGGGCTAGTGGCCAGGTTGGAAAGCCTTGTCACTAGAACAACAAAAGCTGAATGACGCCCTACCGGGAGGAGAAAGTTCATTGACGTGACTTCTTGTTGTGTGGTTGTTCTCGCTGTCCTGGAGGGATGAGTGGAGTGTACAAGGGAGTCATTCCAATTCCGCAAGTAGGTGCAGATGGAGCGATGGAGCTGCGCCCAGAGATTGCGCTCAGATGTCAACTGCTGCTTTGCCAGGGGTGGCGTCGACCCAGGCAAAAACCAATGAGAAGCAAGTGAGTGCCTCTCCTGGAATCTTTTGGACAGCTCCTAAATTTCAAGTCACGAAGTTAGCCACTAGCCATCTACGAAACACGTGCTGGGCCGTACTGAACGCAACTCGCAGCTTCTACGCACTTTAGTACGCGCATACATGCTCACTTTGCGCTTGGGCACGCATAGTTTGTCACGCCACGTCAAGCGAATTGAGGCGTGTAAACATATGCACATACTCCTCGTTGACTACGAGCAAGCCCGACGAAGACCAGATAGCAAGACAATATCCACTGAAAACCTGACACGCTCCGAAGCTTCAGCTCCGCTTGCCCTGCAGTGCAAACGCATGATTCGCATGATGCTCACCCCGATGTCCCTTAAGCTGCCTGCAAGAGCGTAGGGCGCACGCCAAGAACCTGCAAAGCAGGCTTCTGGGCTTCTGGAAATCAGCTCCCAGCGACTAAAGGCCGACTGCTTTAGAAGTTCAGAAGGATTATTCAGTCCTTCAGTCCCTGCAGAAGGTTTCACAGGAATTCAGCGGGAGGCGCTCCCCGTTTTATTCCCAGACAAAGATGTGCGGGGCTTGAGAGTCTGGTCCATGCTTTCTGGGCTTGCTAATCAACATGAAATTCGGTTTGGGGGTGTGAGATCAGCCCGCTGAGCGAATAGAAGAACTCCATTCGCATCGGGTGTCCTAGCTTGCAGATGTGAAGGAATTTGTGCCCAAGCGCTACAAGCCCAAACCCAAACCTTGTATTTGCAGAAGAGGTATTACTACTGCAGATAACAGAACAGTCACATGCGGACCAAGTTCAACACTTCCAGAAGTTTGCCGAATTTTGGCCTGGGAAGTCAAGCGGGCGATGGGAGCCCTTTTTGGGGATGGAATAGGGACTTCTCTCGGGAGATTCTCAGACCGGTCATTCTGGAGTTGTTAGCCTTGGGTAGGGCTCAGATATTAATGTTGTGTGTGTGTGCGTGCATGCCAGGGCTGCAGCTATGGCAAAAAATGAAGCTGGATCGCCGCTCATGCTCAAGAAGCCACCAGGAAGCGATGAGGCCAAACCAACTCTGCAACACCCATCGCGGCCCAAACTGGATGTAGATCTGCTTCTATAGATCTGAAGGCTAATGCTTATATCCGAGGCAAGCTCAACCATCAGCATGCTCAACTATCAGCATTCTAGCCAAAGCTCGCTCCACATCCTAGAGAGTGTAGGGACCATGATGTTTCGCTCCAGTTGTTGAGGAATAACTACCATTCCATTCCTTTAGCATCCTTAGCTGCTTCCTTCCGCCGACCAACAGCAATGACTGAGCGGAATGACCCTAAGGCAGGGTTTCGGGTTGAAGGTCTAGGATATTGCAGTTATGCGCTTAGGATCTTTGGGCTTTAGGGATTTTGCTTACATATTTCAAGGAAGAACATGAGGATCCCAGTATGTCAATCACACTGACCGACTTTTTGTGCGTCAGCGTCTCTCTGGGTTTCAGTTCCTCTCGTGTTGCATGCTCGGCCTTTCCTTCTTGGTTGCGCGGGTCAGACTCGTTGCCGGATGTTCCAACAGAACATGCAGGCTTCACGCTTGGATTGGCTTCCAGTTTTCTTGACTTCCCCTGAGGGACAGCAGAACCCAACAATCATACATACTTCCCCCAAGTCTAATTATACTGAAGCTGATGCAGTCAAGACGCAAGCATTGCTGTTAAAGGCCCCAGGAGACCATGCAGCGGCCGCAGAGTCCTCCAAGTCCCAGGCATCAACCCACAAGCGCAAGATCGTAATTCTTCCACGCAAGCTCCTGTTCTAGACTACCCTCATTCAAAGCGGTACGGATTGGGTCCTAACTCAAACATCACTCAGCGGTAAGATAGCAGGAAAACAGATGTTGTATGATCGTCGCCTATGAGATAGACCACGCAAATGCCACATCAGCCCTTGAAAACGTTCTTGACCTAAAATCAAGTTCCAAAACCTCCAGACCTTGGGCTGTAGGTGAGAGGGAGTGAGTATGGTCATAGCCCCTTCTGCCGTCTTTGCCCATTGGGGCTGCAGCAGGTGATAAAAACCATCATCAAAGGCCTTGAGAGCCGCGATGAGGCGTGGTGTTGAGTCAGAGAAGGGCTTAAGGATGTGTAGGGCTGGGCTTCTGAGTTTGTACGAGATTGTGGGTTGTAATTAATAGGCATAGGAGACTGTTTTTAGGGGATGCAGGGCTGGGGGAAGTAGGTGTCCACGTGCAGCTGAATTTCGACATAGTATATGTTGGGTTTCATTTCTGAACGTTTAGCAAGTGGCTGAGTCCGAAAAGCAATGTTTCACCTGCTGAAGGAGTCATTTGTACAGACAGGGTTTGAAGACCTGATTCTTATTTAGTTGCCTTTGGTTTTCTGGCTGTATGTCTGCCAGCATGAAAATTTCTGGACAAGAACAGTCCATGAGGCAGTTCCGGTGGCTGCAATGAGTCTGCACGGGAGGGTCACGGAACTGGATGATTGCAGATGTTTTTCAACACTGTCTCGGTACCTGACCCCTAATGGTCTCTTAGGGTTCCCTATCTCCCCGAAACACATCTCCATTTACCTCGCAGAGGAGTGTTGCTGTTGAAGTAGGGGACCCATCTCGCCCTGCTTTGAGACGCAGCCTCGAGGTCTTATGCAAAGATCTTGCCTCAATTGACGCTCAGGACGCAGCCATGACCCGTACCGTGTAAGCCATGGAAGCATGAAAGTCCATCAGTCGACACCCCAGACCAGAGACCCAGGATTTGAAACTCTATGCTCCGGAGAGATTGAATCCAATCCTTCAACCTGGCGCGCCGGCGCCCCAAACCTCAACCATAAACTCCTGTCCTACCTTGAATGTGAATCCTGTGAACCCATCATACCCTCAAACCTCAACCCCAAAGCCCTGTAGATCCTGAAGCGCCTACAGCCCCAAGCTTTAGATCCCTGGGTCCATGTACCCAATAATTAGGTACGTGGGATTTGGGCAATAGTAATTACAGTACAGGGAATGCGTAAGTATATGATTATTGGGTGCTTGGATCCTTAGGGTAATTTTAAATCTGCATAGAATCCTCTCATCTTGTGCCTCTTTGCGCCATGCCCCGGCAACGGGGCCTTGCGGCAGCCGCGTTGGGCCTCGGATTGGGCTTGGCCCTGGGAGGCGGAGGAAGGCCCAGGGTATGACAAGGGCTCTGTAGGTTGGGGGATATACCATTATTATAGCAGCTTCCATTTTCTTTTCCATTATCCCAATGCATCCCCAACATACTTTAGTAGGTTCCATTTTCTTTTTCCATTATCCCAATGTAGCCCCAATATACTTTAGTAGCTTTTTTTTCTTTTCCATTATCCCTATGTATAGGCTAAGCGCCTTGTGGGATGTGACTTGAAAATGCTTGTCAGGATGTAGGATGCAGAGATTCGGAGCCAACATTGTCATTTCAACTTGGGATCGAAATAGATAGACATAGGGATTGAAATATAAGCTAAGACTCCACATCCAGAAGAAACGTATGACAACATAGACATTGGGCGCGAAACCCGCATGTTGCAGTTTGGGAATCAAAGGCTCCCTTTTTCGCTTCAGGTGGTCCTCAGACCAACATTCAGCATTCTTCGACTCAACTCAAGCACGTCAAGCTCCAACACCCTAAGGTTACAGGGTTCAGTGCAGTCCTAGGAATACTTTCCCAACCACTTTGCACCACCCTTCGCGAGCTCCGGTTGCCCTTAGCCCCCCTGGCCTCTTACAGGGACTTCGCAGTTGCCAATGGCCCGGCCCACGCCGTCCGAAAGGCGAGCATTGGAGGTCAAAGATGTGGATGCAACGGGGCTTGGTCCGGGGGGGGGGGGTGATGGAGGCTCTTGGCTAATTGGGAACCCCCTGAAATCTGATGTTCTGGCTTCAGAATCGGGTTCTGCTGAAGCTGAAACAGGCAAAAGCAAGTTTCTTTGCATTATGAAGCGGAGTTTGATCATCCCCGGATTAGGGTCCTGGAGTCCTCGTCCCTGAATGTGACAGTTGAAGCGACGGCATCAGGGTGTCCGGTAGCAAGTGGAGGTCTTGGATCAGAGCGTGCAAATGTTGTCTCGCGCTTTGATGAGCATTACGCAAATTCTAAACACTCAAGAGCGTCATCTCCAGAGTTGGCGAAAACCTCACTTTCCAAATCGAATTCCAGCCCCTGAGCCATGCAGGTTTGGTCTGAATGGCTTCAGAAGCATGCCGAGAGCTCAAATATATACTTGAATTCGCATTGAAAGTGGTAGACTCCGGGGAGATGGAGGCGAATTTGTGGCTTGGAAGTTTAGGGATCAGGTGGGGGTCAGGCGGTTAGGGTGCCTAGGATTCAAGGTGTAGAGTGTCAGGGCTAAAGGATTTTGAGGGAAGGGGTTATGCCTAGCTTTTCAGGCTATAGGGTTTGGGGCTGCGTAGCCAACAAAACTCACATTTGTTGTTTGCCCAAGCCTATGCTCAATTTCAGGTTTGGTGTTTCAGACCAAAGTATGGACCGGTGGTGGGTTTTTCGCTTTGGCCCTAGCTCATTTTGCGATACCCGCTACCCTCAACTTTTGCGCGGATGTGCCAAAGACGTCCTGTTTTAGTTGGTAAAAAGGACAGAGATCTGAAAGGTTCATTTGGCCTGTTCTTCCAGCAACATGTCAACAGGCAACAGTGGTACAATTGAGTGAGATGTTCACTCAGCCATGCACTGAGGGCTTAGCGTCTCCCAAAGAGGATGGCTGGCTTGTGCCGGGCTCAGCAATTTCAGGTTGAGATCCAGATGCTTAAGGGGGGAGTGGGGGAAATGTAGGTGTTCCTTTCTTGGGGCCTACAGAGGGATTATTATAGGGATTTCCCTCAAGCACGCGTAAGGAAAGCTAGGGGGCTTTAGGACAAGCTAGAGTCATCTCCTAGCGGAGCCATCAGAGGAGGGCAAGTACGTTTTGCTTCAATCAGAGGTGTCCGCGCTCAATGTGAACTGTAGTCTAAACTCCTGAAGCGCTGATTGTAGGGGGTTATATACGGGACCATGATCGGGCTTGTTGAGGGGGGATACTGGGAGTTTGAATTATAATGTGGTAAGTGCTCCAGATTCGACCCTCAGATGGCAGAGCGGGAACATCATGTCGACTCTCGAATCCCTTTTCCCAAGGGGCACAATGCCACCCAAACCATCCCAGTGGCCCCTCAATGTCCGCATGTCTCCTGGAAGATCTTCTGGGAGCTTGCAAATTACCTCCCTAGTTAGGTCAGATATCGGCCCAGGTCAGCTGCGGGTCTATAAGGCATCCAGCAGATGTTGCAACATAACCACCTCCAAAGCAAGGAAGCCTTGGTCCTTGGGATAGGTGGAGTCCCTTAATCCCCAGAGCCCAAACCCCGCCAACAGCTTGAAGCCCGAACTTGGCTCCGTAGCTGCAAGCTACGAACTCAAAGCCTGCGGCTTCCCTAAGCCCCTGAACCCTACACCCTTGAAGCCCCAAACTCTAAACTTGGAAGCCCAAGACCTGCAAGAAGACTGAAGCACTGAAATCTAGAAACCTGAAACCCAAAGTCTTCCCAGAGGTGCACCTGAATAGTAATGTTGCACAGGCTTTAATTGAATAGACCTTGCTTAATGTACTTTGGCCCTATCAGGCTGTTTTTGGGATAGGCATGTTGACTGTGTTTGGGTTTCTGGGGTTGAAAGATATAGGAAGATATTCAGCCGTCTTGTCATGGGGAGCTCAGAGATTTGAGGTGCAGAAGTCCCTGCTCATGCCTGTTGGTTCCCGGAGCCTTTTCCTGTCCCCGAAGCTTTCCGAATGGGCCTTACTACTAGTATTACTGGTACTGGACTGGAGGGATCTTTGTGCGAGACGCCTCTTCTTCAATTCGTGCGGGCCCCATCATCAGGTTGGGGGTCCCGCAAGACTACACACAGCGCAATATTACAGCTTGTAGACTCTTCTGAGACATGGCGCCAAACCCTGGAAAAATCAAAGCCACAAACAAATCAAACCTAAACCTTGAACTAAACCCCCATTCGTTCCCTCCTTTGCCTCTGAGGATTCCGCTCTCCTCTGGCGGGCCCAGCGTCTGGGACTCTCCTGGCCACTGCAAGCGAAGCTGGTGTCGCCCTTCTTAGAGGGAGGCAGGTATGGGATTTTAGGGTTCAGGGGATCCTACAATACTAAGCAGGGGACAACAGGGCGCTTCCGGGGAATGACTGCGGAGCCTTTTCCTCTTATTTCAGCATCTTCTGGGCAGCCAAGTGAGTGAGTCTCTCTAAACCTTAGCCATTCAAAGTGAGCTCCTGAATCTACTTAAAGATAGACCAAAAGCTACTTAAAAAGCAGTTGTTCATCAATCAAAGTCTATTTCAGATGAACCGAAACCCAATGGAACAATCCTTCCTTCTGTTATAAGGGTTTGGAAAATAGTTCAAAGTTCTGTAAATCTAAGGGATTTGGCCCAACAAAGCATCTGCCTTAGAAGTGCTGTCTGACTCCCCAAATAGTAGTTTGCATTTTCTCTTCCGTTATCTTTATATAACCCCAATATACTGTAGTAGTTTCTATTGTATTTTCCCATTATCCCTATATACAGCCAAACCTACCAATTTCTTTTTGAATCAAGGAGGCTTTAGTGAGCTCGCATATAGTATCCCTTTGAACAGGTTTGTGGGAATTAGCTAGAGGTGTTCGATGTATTGCAGATTTGTAGGCCATGTAGATGAACCCTTGTCCTAGAAACCCCAATATACTGTAGTAGTTTTCATGTTCTTTTCCATTATCCGCATATAGCCCCAATATACTATAGTATTGTCCATTTTCTTTTCCATTATCCCTACCTACCCCCAATATAATCTAGCCGTTTCCTTTTTCTTTTCCGTTATCCTTAATATATACCCCCAATATACTATAGTAGTTTCTATTATGTTCTCCATTATCCCTCTCTAAAGCCAAACCTACCATCTAAAGCCCTATCATCCCGCGGGTCCTAGACATCCCAAAAACCACGAAACACCTCAAACTCCCAACCTTGGAAGTCCTGAACTTCTCTGAACTCTGGCTGTCCACTATCCCTATATAACTCAGACATACACC